TTAAAATTTTTATTATTTAATATTACAGATTTATGCAACACTATGCCTTTAATTGTGTAAAATTGTTTTTGTTTTTTTTTGTTGCTGTTTATTTTTTTGACATCGAGAACATTCAAGCTTTTTCTTGTAAAGATGTAAAAATTACTGTAGAAATTTCAGAGATTTTTTTTTGCCTGGTGTATTTTTTTTACATCACTCCTTCAGTTTTTTTCCCCCCTTTAACATTTTTGAAATGCTTAAGTTGTTTTTTTTTATTACTGTTATTGTCATTTATGTAACCGTCATTTTACCCCTTGAGGTTAAAATCTGTTTTTCGAGGGAGACCTGGCCAAAAGGCACATTGGTGCACACTGCAATTAAATCATCACAAAATTTACTTAAGCGTAAACTAAACTAAACATACAAGAATAGAGCATAGTTAGAATTAAGATTACGTCGAATTTCAAATGTGAGAAAATAGAGGTGTAAATTCGTTGAAAGACTGCGTACTTAGTTTATATATATATATATATATATATATATATATATATATATATATATATATATATATATATATATATATATATATCTATATATATATATAATATATATATATATATATATATATATATATATATAAACAACTGTTATTTTAGTTGAATCTCTGCATGTTAAGTATGATGTTTCCAATGGCTGCTGCCCTTTCAGTAAACTTCAGCCGACAGTTAGTAAAATGACCCAGATACACAGTAGCAACGCAGCACCGTCCAAATGCGTGGCAATAGGCGGAGATTTACATTAAAATAGTGGCACTTGACCGATACTTTATCAAAGTTTTAACGATGAAACGCATGTAAGCTGGCGGAAGAAGCTGCGGAAGGTCTGCTTTGGAGAGGGGGGGAAAAAAGAAAAACGAAACAAAAATCCCGGCTAGCAACCAGCTAGCTAGCAGCAGCTAACGCTAGCTTGGAGATAACGAAGAAGAAGAAAAACCCAGAGCTAAATGTAGAAAGACATGACACCTCCTTCGAAGGCGTGCAGACAAGCTTCAAAACATACTTTGCAAGCAAACCTTGTCAAAAAAATAAAAATAAATCACGGACGCGGGTGGAATGAGCGTACCGTTTACAGCCCTCGGTAGATCGAGCGAAGAAGCCGTGGAGAGTCAGCTGGCTGCCGCTGCGGCTTGACATAAACACGGACCCGTCACGCAGCCACACCTTCCGTCTCGAGCTGTCACGGCGACTGCAGGCAGATGTTTCCGTCTGGAGCGCAGATATCGTTAAACGTCTCGAAAAGGATCGGCATGTAGGGATGTAATTGGCTCAGAAAGGGATGGCGCGTCCTATGGTGGGCCACACATATCCACGGCGTCAGCGCCTGGCGTCCACCGACAGGAGCATGCCGCGATACGTTCAGGTTACCAAAGGAATAGCATACACTCTTTACATTGATATGACTAGAAAACTAACATGAGAACAATATCCAAAAGAAGCCACGTTCATTTACACAGAGCCGGCCAAAAATTACAGAGGGCCTTGAGCAGAGGTCAACTTGGGCCCCCCCATTGTTTATTGGATTACTTATGCAGACAATTACTTAAAGTCCAGAATACAATATTTAAAGTATGTACCAACAGTTTTTAGTTATATTGTTACTCAGTCCATTAAAAATTTAAGTGATTAAACTACCAATATCAAATAAATTCAGAGAACCACAAATATTTTCCCATGTATGTTTAAAAGGTGCACATGTCAGTTTTTTTTATGCTACATAAATGTGAATTGTGCAAAAAAATTGCGCATGCCTTGCATGATTTGTCAGTTTAAAAATAAAAATGGAAAATACATAGGCATTCAAATAAGCCTGTTTTATTTTGATAATTTTAAGATGTGCCAATTGAAATATTGACTTCAAGAAACAAATTCTCAAATTTGAAATGACAAAAATAAACCTTTAACATTAAAACCACATAAAAAAAATATTTCTTTGATCACGTTATTTTCTGCAAAAGCATCTACACCACAAATCTGTGCAACAATTTTACATCATCGAAAAATATTAAAAGCACACAGAATAATTAATCCTCTTGAATTTTATACATCTACAGCCATAAATGTATTTTTATTTTCCTATTTTGTAAAGCCCCATATTGAAAACATAAATTCAATGCAGCATTGTTTTTTTTTTAAAGCAGACAAGTAAATTTAAAACACTTCACAACAAGCCTTTGCAGATAGACTTATAAAGAAGTAGATGACTTCAGGTATGAATTACCAGATTGAATAAAAAAAAAAATGCAGAAAAAAACCCCCCAAAAAACTATAAGGCAACCCTAAACTGTGTTGTGTGTGGGCGAGAACAACAACACTTGAGAACAAACTTAAGACAAGTGAGACTTGGAAGCCAAATCAAAATAATTTATTTTTGGTGACATTTTATACAGTTCTAAGATTGTGTCTCAAACACTTGGTTGATCGATTACTACATTTCCTGTTGCCACCCCAATCCAAATTAAACAGAACAAAAAAACAACAAAAAAAAAACAACCCAAAGAATATTGCAGAGGGGGAAAGCAATTCCTGTAGATATTTGCAAGCCTGTCAACATCGACCATATGCTTCTAAAATTATTTCACATTACTCATGAGTACGATTCTTTTTAAAAACAAGTTAGTGCATTTCTGTAATTATACTAGATCACTAGCTGCTCATACTCAATAGAAAATTAAAATAATAAAAAAAAATAAAAAATAAAAAAAACAGCCCCAGTGATTGGATATTTGTTTACTGCAGTATCAAACCCAAAGTAAATGCATCAAGTATTTTTCTCTCAGCTGACATCTCGATCAGTGTACAAATGTCATATGCGTGATTTTATTTTGACAATGCGATTTCACACAACTTTGGGGAAACCAGCCTACCAAGATTGGGAGAAAAGCGTTAAAATTAAAATAAATAAATTCAAAAAGCAATACATACAGTGAGTCAAACTTCATGTTCTACGTCAACCTGTTTTCCAAAATTAAAAAAAGAAACAAACCTGCAAACTCACCCTAAAGCACAAAAGAAAAAAAAAAACAACAATCCGATAAGATGCCTTGTCAATAGCCTCTCTCTCTCTTTTCAAATTTATGACTAGAAATAATTACATTCTCCCACACACATTTCTAGTGAAGGGTTATAATAACAATATAGCAAAGGCAACTAAACCTCTACAGCTTCTCAAAAATCCAGTTTCACTGAGCCAAAAAGCTTCCCAAGCTAAATTATTTAGCATTTCTCATCAATAAAAATCAAAAACTTTATCCTAGAACTATGATCGCAGGCAGCTGGCACATAGCATGGGAAAAAAGCTTTTTACTTTCCACAATGTGGCTGCCAGATATTGTGTAGCTATCATCCTTATCTAACAGCACTCCATAGCCTCTTTTTTTATTTATTTTTTTTTTAACTTTGTCACCATTAGGAACAATTCACAGATATAAGCTTAACCTGAATATCCTGGGACAATGTAGAAAAGCCAAACCTCACCTGAACCACCAGGCACACTAAAACAAGTCAACTCTTACCATCAACGTATAGATTTCTCTCAGGAACCCCCGCCCCTTCGCTACCCCCCCAAAAAAAAACAAACATGTAAACAGAGAACCTGACTGATTATCAACGATGACAAAGTTCTGAATTCGTTGCAGTGGATAGACCCAAAAATGGTTCTGATAAACAGGAAGAAACAAAACATGAAAAACTTTGGACCAGGCTTTGCAGGTTCACCATGGCAAACGGACCAGTGGGTGCCCCCAACTTGTATTTCGGCTTCAAACGCAAAAGAAAGGAAAAAAAAAAAAACACAGACCACCGTGGCATGAACGGTTTCCGAATCCAATCGTAAATCGGAATCAAAACACCACTGTTAAAACACATTTTCACTAATATACATAAGACCAGACCGTCCGTTCTCTGGACAATATTTCAGAATCTCTGCTGTAAAAATCAAGTTATTCGTTTCGTTACATCAGTGCAACTGGAGCACTTCAATCATTTTGCTAAACAATCAATGCATACGCAGACATCAGTCAACCCTTCAGTCATACTTGCAAACCTAAGCACACGAGAAAAAAAAAAAAAAAACGACCTCTCTTTGCGTGTTAGTGATATCTTTGTAAATGTACATGACATATATGCATGTTGTTTTCGTCTTAGTGCATATTGTTCTTGCAGACCAACATCTAGTTTTCAAAGTAAAAAGAAGAAAAATAGGTAGAGGGCCACTTGTGAGGCCCAGAATCCCACCTTCCCCAAGCAGAGCATGAGCGCAGCCTCCAGATAAATCGCACTTAAAATCTTTTAAGCGTAACGCTGGAGACCAAAACAAGAAGAGTTCCTGAACCAATCGTAGAAGTTCATCAAGTGTCACTTTGCCCTCAAGTCCTGGATGTCAGTCATTTAAAAGCGTTTCTTTGGACAGTCTCCGTGGGGGGGAAAGGTGGCTACCATAAAGTTGTTGCTTTTATTTTATTTGTCTTAATATAGTTTTATATATTTATATATATATATATATATATATATATATATATATATATATATATATTCATACATATTTTTTCTATTCATATTGAGTTTTTACTTTGGCGATACTGGTGGTATGTTCTGCTCTTTGCCAGTGAGCCTGAAGCCTCCCTGAGGGGAGCCTCGTCGAGCCGGGGGCGGGCGCCGCTGGTCCCGGAACTTGAGCCCCCCCGTGCCTCTGGGGCCGTTGCTGCGGTAGTAACCCTGAGAGTCACGTTCGCGCGGCGGTCGGCTCTCCTTGCATTCCCACCCGCCCTCCTTGTCGTGGCCCCGCTCCTGCTTGTCTCCGGGGCTGGTGCCGGAGCCCGGCTCCTCGGCCTTGTTCACGCGCAGCTCCCGCAGCGGCTGGCCAGACGCCGTGCCGGAGGGGGCCGGGGCCGCGGGGGGAGGGTCCTTGGGAGGCCGCTGGCACACTTCGGCGTAGCTGAGTTTACGGGGTTCCTGAAGCAAGGTAGAGTTTAAAAAGAACATCTAATGTCAAAAGGTCTGTGAGGGTGAAAAGTGATTCATTGATTGACTTACTCACAATGCCTTCAGTAAGTATTTATACAGCTACTTTAGTTAAGATATGAAAAAAAAATCTACGCATTTTGAAGAAATAGTCAAAAAAAAATTATGCGTTTTTCAAAACTAATTAATGCCACAATATGTGAAATTTTCTTTCTCTCAGTTCTACTTTATTTAATTTTTGTTTATTTCTACTTAAATTTCAACACAACATTTTGTAGGTCTGTCGTTGGGAGTGATAATTTGGTGGTAAAATATTACCATTAGGACTGATACATTCTTCTGAAGAGTGGGACATTTTTTCTGGGTTAGAAAAAAACTTTACCAAATCATGCCAACATAGTAAAATCATTTTGCATGATGCAATTTGGAAAATTGCATCATGCAAAGATCCTTTAGAAAAAGTTGACAATTTCATGAAGGGAAATCTTGAAAAAATTATTTTACAGCCCAAAAAATGCAATAAAAACATTTTATGTAGTTAGAATTTTTAAAAACCTCGGTTTTCTTTTCTCCTCAAATTTACATTGCGTTGGTACATCACCTAAAATCCAAATGGGGTAAAGTGAGGCCTGTGGCTGTGATGTAAAATAGTTCAAGGGGTATAAATACTTTTGTAAGGCACATTGTGATTTCTTTGGTCAAACCCTCAGATCTCATAATCTCAAAGGTCACTGGGACAGGAGTGAACTCTCTGAACTTAAAGGAGGAAAGAATAGAAAAAGCAGAAGAAGAGAAAGATTGAGATGGGAAAGAGAGAGAGAGAGAGTCAGTCTGTCCACTCCTTCACTTCCCTCTGTGCAAAGTTTCTCATCATCAGGAAAAAAATCACATTGATAAATTGGCAACAAAAGAGCAGATTTCATTTGTTACCTGTGCTGGGGTGGTAATTGCGGCTGTAGATGCGGCGGGCGTGCTGAGGGTCGCCGGCTTTGAAGCAGCAGAGGGCTGAGGTCGTGAGCTTGACGTAGGCTGTGAGGAAGAGGAGGAGGAAGAAGTGGAGGAGTTCACAGTAGCTTGAACTGGGGTACGCTGAGTTACTTTGGACACTGGGGTTTCAGCCCTTTCCACTCTCTTCTCCTGATTACTTATACTGTCAGAAACAAAACGTGTCAGACTTTAGTACACTAACAGAAACATGAGAGTATCTCAAAATATGAAGACAAAGGTAATTTGACAATCATACCGGGAAGCCAGAGACCCAAGTGGCTGAGAAACGGATTTTGAGACGGTCGGGGCAGGACTTGAGACGGTCACAGCCTCCTCTGTGGCCGAAGTTTGGGCTGACGCTGGACTCACAGTGGTTTCTTTATTGGTTTGCTCTGTCTTTAAGACGTAAGAGAACCACAAGCATTACATTTCTGAAAACCGTAGCAGCTCAAGCACTGCTGAATCAGAGAATCCTTACCTTGTACAAACCACGTACGACATCGGACATTCGGTTTTCTAGCACCGGCTCTCCCTGTGTGCTGACCACACAGCCAGGAAGAGGCGGGAAGTTGGTGGCGGCCAAGTCAAACTTGGGCGGAGAAACCTTCACCTCGGCTAAGGGGACCGGCCTCTGTGAATTAGGACAAAGAAAATACAAACAAATAATGGAATCGTGGTTCAAGCTCTAAAATAAATTCAACATGATCTCTACAATGAGATGCGGCCGGTTACCGTGTTCCGCTCATCTTCTCGCCTCCTTCGCGTTCCTCTATAGGTTGTGCTTCGTCTGAAAGACAAATGGTTGACTAAAAACTTCATTTCAAAACGGGACAATGTACAAATCAAACATAAATGTCCCCATTTGATCCAGCATAAGACATTATAGCAAAAACTAATAGATATGTGTAGCATCCAGTACATGTCAGTTTATTTTTCTCAAATATAAAGTACAGAAAGCATGCATAGCCGTGACTTCTATAGTGGCAAAATAAAGAACAAAAAAAAGCAATAACCTGATTTTTGTTTTTAATCAAACAAATTCTTAAGTTTTGTCTTTATCAATAAAGTTATTTTATATAAATTCTAGGGAAGTCATTTATGATGTGATTACAAGAAAGCAAGACTGCTTAATTTCATTGCAATTCTATGAGATTCAATGAAGTTTAACTGTCTAATAAAACTAACTAGAGAGAATCAGTGTAACTATGCAAAAGAAAACATTACATAAACATCAAGAATAGAACTAATATGTTTTCTGCTATGAGTGCTGAACTGCTGACAATAAAACTGCTACTGTGTTACTGTATTTATTTTAGGTTTCATCTGGTCAGTATCTTGTCTGCTTACATTACACACCTACCAGAAAAAGACTTTAATGTGCAACCTAAATGAACTGACAACTGATTTGTAATAAAACCTTGATTAAAAAAAAAAAAGAACCTGACCGAAGAGTGAAACCAGCACCTTGAATCAAATATTTACTTTTACTTAATGACTGGCGTTGAACCTCTTTATCCCGAGACACAAATCTCAAAAGGTGACGGTACACACTAAATAAACACCGTGACTTTAATAGTTTTCGAACGTCATGACCGAATGTGTGACAAAACCGATACTTCATCGATACAGAAATGAGGTTCAACGAGGGGATTATCAGTTTACCTTCCACGTCCAGCCATGCCGCTGTCGTCATTAGGGTCCAAAGATGATGAAGAGGAGGAGAGCTGCGAGAAGGCGGAGGTGATGTCAGCGGTCGTCTGATGAGTGGAGGTGGGGGCGCCGATGACAGGAGGCTGGGGGCTGCGCAGGCCGCTCAGACTCTCCAGGGGAACAGGTGTTATTGAGGCTGCAGTCACCTCACTGGTCCTAATCTGGGGTTTAATGTGGTTTCTGTTGAAGTAAAAATCCAAATAAAGTTTCGTTAAAATGATACGGATTTATGCCGGGAGCCAGAAGTTTCAAATGAACAGCATGAGGTCATTTTAACTTTTAATCACATTTACATTGCACATTCCCAAACTTCTGAATGATTCAAGTCATTTAAAAGAAATACAAGACAAACTGTAGAAACAGTGAAAATTAAATTTACTTAATATGATATTAGCCTTTCCATTTAATCAATGTCAGGTGCCCAATGGACATGTGCTCACCAAGGACCAGTGTTTAAAGTCTTGTTGCAGTAAAGTTATCCCTGACTTTTTGTGAGGAAAAACACAGCAGGTTCATACACCAAGTAAAGCTCCCATAATAGAGGGACATAAGTTTTACTAGATCTACTTCGCTGTTTTCCAATCGTCTGCAACAATTTCTCAATGATGCAAATTTTAGGAAACATTCAGAAATTTTTTGAGATTCACAAATAGAAAAGGCTAAGACACATTAAGCCACAACAATCCCAGGTCAACAAAAGTACTTCCAGTGCCGGTTCAGAGCTGAGCTGCAGCTCAAGTCTTTCTTAAAAAACAACAACAGGAACTGGGATTCATCTCCAGGGATGCTGCGCTGAGTCTAGAAATGCAGCTAACAATTATTTTAGTAACTGACAATTATTTTAGTAACTCCTTATTCTATCGATTATTATGACAATTAATTGGAGAAAAACATTTGTCACTTTGTGAAGATTTTTTTATTTATCCACTCAAGCCTTTTTATAATACGGAAAAATACAGATTATCAAAGCCTTAAATTATTTACAAAATTATCTTTTGTAAATAATTAAAGTTTTGATGCCTAGAATGCAATGACAGCATTCCTTTAGTGTGTGCTTCATCATTTGTAGGAACGGATGCATCTGCAGCTAAAAAAATACTTTTATCATCAACGTGTAAAAAGTTCAGCCCTACTTGATTTGATATCCATAGTGTAGGCCTGATCTGTTGATTATTTGTTTAATAAATCAATTAATAGCTGGATGATAGAATTTTTGAGTTAAAATAAGCCTCTTATTCTGGGCAGAACATAACACATGTATATATTTTTTGTACAATTTTGGCTTAATTACTGCTCTGGGTATGTTTTTCTTTCAGCAAACTGCCTTTTAGTGAATCTGCATTCTTCAGAAAACAATTATTCACTTTTGAAAGTTATTTAATCCAGTTAGTTGTTTCGGCCCAGTTAATAATTAAACATCTTTTCTGCATGACAGAAGGTTTTGTTTATGAAAAATATAAGCGATATCACACTACACATTGAACACACCACCACCATACTGAGGTCAGTTGGTGGAGATGCCCGTTTTTTTCCCCACCCTGCAAGATTAATGATTCTAGTGTAAGTCCAGCTGCATGTGACAACAACCTTTAACGGTTAAAACAAAAATCAACTCATGCTAAATAACAAAATGTACTAAACAAGCACTGGAACCATTTTTGGTGGAGAAACACCCCTTACAGGAGAAGTGAAGCTTGCATTACATTCAGAAAACAGCAACATGCAAATGATGCGACAGGAAACTGTGGATCCACCGACCAAACCACACAACATGCCGCCTCCTTAAAGCACAAAGTAGACAAGCAGATGGTTCATCTGGGCTGCATGTGCGCCTATGGTTGGCTGGAGGGCTGAAGACTGCCACCAATCATAAATTCACCAAGTAGAGCTGACAACACTTGAGTAAAACAGCTAAAAGTAAAGCTTTTTTTTTAATAAGACATGATTCAAATTTCGATCTTTTAACAAATCGACCTCAGATCTCATAATCTGAACGCTCATCGGGATGGGAGTGAAGCTCCTGACTTTGGAAAGAAAGAAACAGAAGAGGGGGAGAGAAAAGAAGGAGAAAAGAGAGGACCAAAGCCAGTTGTCTTCCTCCCATGTTGTCCCTCCATGCGCATCATGATCTCATCATGGGTCGAACGCATTTATCAGCTTCTCTACTGTCGGCTCTTTTCCTACAGCACATGACGCATTGAGTCAATGAAGGAAGCAGCAATGAAAAGTAAAATAAGTGGTTAGTTGTAATGAAGTTTAGCAGTTACTATGATGTATGCTGGTGTATCAATGCAAGGGGATGTGTTTGGTGCCAAGAGTCCTCAAATGGCAAAAACTGTAGCAATCCAGTCACAGAAAAAATCCAGTAGTTTTATTAATATGAATGGCACCAAGCATCATCACAGCAATGAAAGTTTTAATATGGACCAAGATAAAGATATCCAATTTAAAATTTTTGGTTTTAGTCATTAGGCTGCAGTGGTATGGTAAGACATGAGGGTAGCGATGAAGCTTATCAGACAATACTGTATAGTGGTACCTGAAGGCATTTATTACATTCTTTCTTGAATACAGAGGGACACTGTGAGGACAGTAAGAAAGAGGGGAGTGAAGAGCAGTTCTCTGTGGGGTTACATTTTCTTCAGACAACACTGCATTGCGGATGATCTGACATTACAGTTTAACCTAGCATGCAAACAACAGCGAGTGGTGAATGCCACACTCCAATTAAGAGTACGTTTATGAAAACAGCAGGCTGAAGTCTGAGTCACAACTTTAAAAATGCAGCACAGCAAATAAAAAAGATCCCGCTTACCGGTTTCTGTTGAATGGGCGAGTTAGGTTAAGAGCAGTGGAGCCAGCTTTGTAGTGTCCCGCTGAGCCGAATCCATTCACAAAGCCGCTGTTGGGAAACGGTGCCTGCACAGGGAGAAAATATGGCAGCGTTGACTAATCCTGTTTCATGTAGCAATTTGTTCAATTATTTACTCTGCAGCAGTCCAAGAATGTAATACAGGGGAAATCTTGAAGACATTTAAGCTCTTAGAGGAATAGCGATTTAATGCCCTACACACCTCCACCTCATCTAGAGGTGGAGGTGTGAGAGAACAAGTTATTGAAACTCACCCAGGACACAGTGAGTCTTCCTAATATTTTGCAGCACTGTATATTTTTCTCCAGTTGAATTGATAAAATGGGTTACTACAAATGTTCAACATTTTAGACTCCAGTAGTTTTTCCTAACGACTGGAAATCAGTAGTTAGGAAATCAGTAGGATTACATTTTTGAATGTAAAACATTTGCGTCGTTTGGTCTTACCGCCCCGTTCACAACATTTAATAATGCACTAAATATGCAGAATGAGGAGACTCGTGTACACAATAAAAAGCTTTCCTAATTGGAAGTTATAGAGTTGATAATGAGCCTTTTTTATTTTGCACACTTCTGCTAATTTAGATGCATTTTAAGCAACTGCCAACCAAAAGACATTCAATGTTTCCCCCAGAAAACCTGCTAACCCCTGTGGCAGGGGCACAAAATCACCATGATTTTGAGATGAAAATCATCAATTATAGTGGTCAGGGAAACCCTGACTTTAGTCCATCACCGTATCCACCTGACTTTTCAGAGTGTAACCTGAAATTTCAGATTTTACACCAACTGTACGTAAAAATCAAAGTTCTAAGTTTGAGTTCACCCACAAAAACTATCTTTATATAAAAAGCCAAAATAATGATCACTGGCTAATCATTAGCAACAACAAATAAAGAGAATAGTTGATCAGATAAACTGGTCAGATAACCAATAAATGCATAATTTTTGAATAAAGTTTATTAAAACATATATCTGATCTGGGACCCATTCCAGCTTTATGCAGTTCATTTAGTGCCGGTTCTTACCAGAGGAGTTTCAAAATAGGGTGTGGGTGAAGGAGTCCAGGTGGGCGGTACAATGCCATAGACCGGGTACTGCTGCTGGGGGTAGACATGCTGCATGTAAAGTGGAGAGCTGTACTGGGACTGGTTCTGGGACTGCTGAGCATACAAGCTGCTGTCCATGCTACGGTAACCATTCTTTGCGAAAAATGTGTTGATGGCCTTGATCCGTGCCTATTAGATGAAAAGAAACAAGAAATGACTCATGGTTTCTTGAAGGACAAGCTAAAACGTTTCAGCTCAACTTACCATGATGGGTTTTCCCTGAAATGTTTTGACTTCTTCCCTTAAGTACTTGTATGCCTGGAAGAGCAATTCAGGAGTCGAATCAGGTCATTTAAGGTCTTCCACTTTGAATTGGAGCAACGTGAAGTTTAACCAGACGTACCTGCTGAGCATCTGTGTCCGATTGGAATGTAACGTACCAGTTGTTGTTGTGCGCAAACTCGACACTTATCACCTTTGGACAATTTTCGTTTTTAAACAATGACTCAACTTCCTGTGGGATTGAGACAACGAGTCAGTTTTCAGTTTCCTAAAATGTCTCAATTGTTCCTAAACATGAGCACAACGTGGCAGTACCTCTACAGGTGTGGTTTCAGGGACCTCTCTCAGGATGATGATGCATCGTTTGTGATTCGGTCGAACCTTTTCACCTTTCTCATCCACTTGTACCATTGGAGAAGCTGGAAGGATCATTTCAAATATTAATACAGACAATCATGGCCTATTACTAAAAGTTTTACAAAGTATCATGCTCATCCTTTCACTTACATCTCAACACATCCAGAATGAGCTCCATGTCTGTGGTGAGAACCTTTATGCCCTCCATGCTGGCTATAGTCCAGATGGGGACAAACTGGTCGCTGTCCATCTGAGACATGAGGTATAAATCCTTGGAGAGGTTTTCTCTGTGCAACAAAATTATAAATCCATGCAAATTAGTCGCATCTTAATTTGTCACAAACTAAAATATCCCCACTTGTTGCTCCAGACAGTGTACTTTACTTTCAAGAAACTAAACAAGCGTCACTTGTTGCATTTAAGGTAACAGTGTTGAAATTAGCCAATGAGGGACACACTTCAAGCAGCAGACTGCAAACTACCCAAATAGGGTGACAAATATGTTTGCTGCACTTGTGTTCCTCGATGAAAGGAACTACAGCAAAAATGAATAATAATGTGTGCAATAAAACTAAAAACTTGCAAGTGTTTATTTTATGTTCTCACTTTAGTCAAATCTGAAAAATACAAATAAGAGCTTCATGTTTCATTATTTTAGCAACAATGGGAATCTTTTTATCTTTTTAAAAACATATATTTTTTTATTGTGTTTATTGAAAATAAACACATTTTCTGAGTTTCTGAAACTCAGTAACTTTTATTCAAGCTCGTCATACTGTGAGATTCCCACATTGACCCATATCAGATTCATGAGGTAAACAAAAGTCTAATTTACCTCAAATCTAAAAGTCTTTTGCTCTTACCTTGAGAAATAAAACTCTAGCTCTTTCTTCAGAGACTCTCGTAGATTCTCAGAGGACACTTGTTCTTCAGTTTTGGAATCTAAATATTCAATTGCAAGAAAAAGGATCAAATAAACTTTTGTTCAAATAAATCATCCAGTTTAGACAAAGAAAAACATGAAACCATTAAATAAACAAAACACAGTAAACATAAACCAATTACTTTTATATGTTAGCAAATATTACACCAAGCCCAACAAAATATGTCCACACATTCATATGTATCAAATTCTTCCAAAGCCATGTCTTTGATGCTTGACTGTGAGGTGAGGCAGCACATCAGTCTAATGGTGAATAGATTTGTTCGGCTGTTTCGTGTCCCTACATTTACATTTCAGAGGTCCATACTTCCTCCTGTTCATGCCTTTGTCCTTTTCCCTCTCCAGCAAATCTGAGCAACTTTTCAGCCAAATACAAGAAAAAGTGTCACCAGCAAGAACAGCTAACAGGAACGACGATGTCACAAGATGGCGCCTCAAAACTGATCTGGAACACAGTGCGAATCACTTCACAAGGAAACGTAAAAGGACACTTTGAGAAGGAATGTGGGTTTCTAAACTTTAAAAAAACATATATATCCAACAAGCTGTTACGTGTAATTAATGCAAACTTGTCACAGTTCCCACTCTACTCTCAATGCTGAGCTAGAGGCCTGGATTGAACAGGGGGGTTTTTTTAATCGCTGCTCATTTTATCCCATGAGCAGCAGCCAAAATCCCTCTGACCTGAGCTTTGAATGCCGCCTGCACTGCAGCTCACTGAACGCGGGTCGCCATTCGCATAAAAATAATCACCACAGGACACCAGATACATTAGCTTCACAAAGAAGGGATGCAAGAGACATGTCTGACAGAGGGAAATTATACAACACAAACCACTATTTGACCGTGTCAAAATCCAAACCCCCTGGATGCTGTTTGTAGAATAAAACCAAATGACAATTAGTTTCTATTTTCCCAAAAAAAAAAACTATTTGTTTCAGGTTACTGTCTACTTATTGTGGCTAAGTAGACAGGATTCTACTTAGCCACCGTTACAGAGTGAGGGAGGCTGCAGGTGAGATGACTGACCAGAGCTCCCTGTCGTGGACTCGGCAGGGGAAAAGCCCAGCTCTTGAGGGTCCATTCCATTTACTGCTATCTCAGCTGTTGCTGTGGAGCTGCTCTCGCCCAGGGCGGTAAATCCCACAGAGTACTGCTTACAACCAGCAGACGAAGGCTCTGAATAACCTGGTCACATTAATAAAACGCATTTGATTCAAGAATCAGACGTTTGTGAATATTTCATCCAGATTCTATTAACGTGTTGAGCACTTACTGATGTCTGAGGGAGGCCAGTGAGGACTGGTGACAGCCTCGCTGGGGGCCACGGGGATCTCCTGCCACACCTTGGCATTTGGGTTCAAACCAGCACCCTTTGAGGTGACCTTCAAAACAGAAACCACAGGATCAGGTGAGATTCAACTCAAAACACAAATGAAGGAAGACCGATGCTTGCATTCTGGCTAGATTGAGGATTTCAAAACATTTGCAGGGATTGTTTTACGAATGTGCAATCAATGCAGCATGTAAAGCAATCGGTTTCAGACATAATCAGTGTATCAAAGGACAAATGTTTTGCTGGTTCATATGTTTGTCATCTCATAGTTGGTTTTGCTGCCATAAATTATACTCTTGTATAAATTCTCTATCAAATTTAAAACACAAAATACCAATCCTCAAAAAATATAACTAAAAAATTCAGAGGTAACAACAAATACACTGACAAAGGTAAAAGTCTGTTTTATTATGCTTATCAAGAGGCAAATGTTGCAACATATATATAATTTATATGATTAGTATTATAGATCAGAATAGTTTTTCTTAATATTTTAGTATTCCAGAATCAGAGTAAGTTTTTTGATCCATATTAATGCATTGTGCTTGACATTTTGAATTCTTCTCAACAAGCACAGAATGAGGTAAGAATGCACCAGGGCTGCATATTGTTTTATTGCAGTATTAGTTTATGTGAAGCACCCAAAGTTCAGTATATTTGATTGAGTTTCACTTCAATAGATACACACACCTGACACAGATGACCGTGTCCATGATGATAAAGGTCGCAGAGTGTCTGCGGAATATTAGAGAAGTGAGGAAAGTCTGCATTTTATGTGCCAGTCCAACATTGTGGACTGGCACACGATGTAACCAAACATCAGGGATGTTTCGGGTGGGTCAGAGCCCATTCCAGTCTCCCGGCTGATCAACATTAAAAGAGCCTAATTCCAATCTTTTTTCGTCTGAAAATTTGCTAAATATAGCAAAAACATTGCTGACTTGCAAAAGTGTGGTGATTATTTTTGACCGTACATGTGCAGATGTGACCTTGTGAACAGGTCAGTCAGTCGAGTCTCTTTTACAAAAGAGCAAGAGAGGACAGTGGTTGACTTTCAGACCTTAGTGGAGATGGATATGATCGGCATCTGATAAAATTAAGAAATTAAGAAAATTGTGGTCGATTTATCAGCTGACCAATTTATCAGTGCACTGGTAGTTCCAACTATATTAAATTTTGCATTTTAAATGTTGTATCCTTCCTTACAATTCAAGAATGTTCTAAGTATTTGCGGCATTTAATGCAGTTACATTAAAGTGATGATGAAACGACTTCTTTGCAGACTTAAGTGAACTCTGTATGTCGGTGACAGCATGACAGGAATCAGCAGACAAATACCTTTGTGAGGACACTAGGTATGTAATGAATGTGATTTTTAGCACTAAGCTGCAAACAGCAACTTTTTATTAATGTTAAATTTATTTTTTTTATCCTCTCGTGATACAAACAGTACAAAAAATATAACAATTTCAACTATATTGGAATTAATTAAAATTTGTATTCATCACAATGAAACAAAATCCCTCTACAATAAAATCATGCAATAAATGTCCATCACACGATAACAGATCCGATCGAAAATCATTTATTAATATATTCTAACTACATTCGAGTCAATTTATTTTCACTTTGGTACATTTGGTGATATTTTTTTTCTTTGATCTTAAACAAATAATATTTGCTGAAGTCTGCTCCAGGACAGCTAAATATTTATTCATCACTTAACACAATTAGGTCATCTGTGTTGACATAGTGGGAATTAGTGAGGCCTGGCGGTGCATCAGTTTGTGTCCCCAACTTCCAACAGGTACGTTAACCTTTAACCCCTGCAACAGCTAGCATTCATCTGCCTCCTGTCTTGGCTCCTGATTATCGTGTGTATGCAGCAGTCAAGAACGAACGAGCGGCCCTCTTTTGTCACTCAAACAGGGAAGGGCATTTATGAGCAACTTGACACATGGTCACAATGCATGCTTCTGTGTCATAGGCCGTGGACAACCAAGAAGTATCAGCTGACTGCGCAGCACGGCGAAGGCCAGGTATTCACAACGCATGTCACCGCACTAGCTAGGCTAACTAGCACTGCGATTAGCTGAAATAACATCACAGCAAATGAACGTCTGTTACTCGGTCTACAGTCCGCAGCACTGTTCACAAATTAATTAAAATAGGATTATGGACCTTTAGATTGTGTTTGTTGTTATTATATGGTCGGGTCAAAAGTTAGCAAGCTAATGATTACTCAGCAAACTACTTAATAAGAGAAGCGGCTTCGTTAGCAGCAATGGAGCCCTCTGCTAACGATCAGTGCGCACATTTGCATTAAGTGGCTGCAAACAGATATTTAAGCCGCAGCGTCTCAGGCTGTTTACACAATATGGGCTTGTAAAATGTCCTGTAACGGAGGGTTAAAGGGCAAACTAGGAGCTGAAACGACTCAAATGAAAGTTAGCGGCTGAACGATACTTTGTTGGGTTAATTTTAGCTGATAAATGTGACTCATGCTCGAACAGGTCTCTACTATTATGCCGGGGGAGAGAAAAAAAACACCCCCCCCCCTCCAAAAAAAGCCCAATTTTCTTTCTATAAATTTGTTTTAAGAAAGCATGTCAAAAGGTTTCCCTAGTTTTATTTTAGTGTTTATAAATTATCTTCAGTTTTTCAGTAATTTATTGAAGTGCACTTTTTGCTGAGGGCAAGGGTGGCATAAAAAGCCCCCTGCGGTGTACATATGAGCAAAAGACAGAATGGGACATTTGCTTTTTTAATCACAACTGACAAAAACTGATCCGACCTTCGCTCAATCAAATGTACTTTCCATGACTGGGTGATTTTTTTTTTCGGCTACACGTCGGGTGAGCAGAAGTAGCTCAAGTAGCTAGCTGAGAAGCTAAAGAAGGCCTCACTCACCATGCCGCCTGACCCTCCCTCGCTCCCCAGCGGAGCCTCGTCCTTCCCACCGCTCTTCGGTCCGGGATCAGCCTCCTCCTGCAGCAGCGGTGGCTCTCCGCTCTGGTCTGAACTCATCAGCCGCTCCTGACTCACTACCACCCCGTCGCGTTCTCCCGGCCCCCCGACTGCCGCCACCACCTCGTTTCCAAACAGCGGCTGTGTTTTTCAGTCAGTCGAGCTCGTCTCCCGGTCAACTGGATGGGCCAGCAGCACACTCCAGCTAGCAAGCTAGCGCGCTATGAATCAACGAAGCGGGCTAACGGCAGCTAGCTCAATGAATTAGGCTCGCACGCTTGAATAAGAAACGTAGAAGCGACACCAAACCATGACTCCTGTTATACCACGGTATCGGCTGAAGTTTGATCAAATGCTAAACCACGCAGCGACTTCGCAAGGCGCATTCCTTATCGGGCGAGCGGAGCGGACACTGGGGACATGCACCGTTCCTCGGCGAAGGCACACAGTCCGCCGACGTCCCAACGGCCACCGCGAGTTCTCATTGACCTTTGTAGAAGTTGTTTCCTCTTCCGCTTCCTGTAGTTTTTTACTGTAGTTTTATTTTTTGACTATAAAGCGAAGCTCTGAACGCCTCTATTTTCCAGTAAAGCCTAAAGTATAAGAGTTTAATTACAACCTCCTAAATTATATGTACGCCTGTAATTTTAAAAAAAAACTAAAAAACAGAACACTTTCAATCCATTTTGTTGGCTTCAGAATAAGTCTGAAACCTAACAGAGTATGGAAAAGGGGTGTGAATATTTTCTAACTGCAGTGTAAGTTGTAAATGAACACATACAACACCTCAGGTTTAAAATGATAATTCTAATGTAATTTTTATTGCAACTAGACTAACAGTAGCAATGTTTTTATAATAAACATATTAATCAAATATTTTGGTAATATAAAATATTTTTTTCAATTAATTTTCTTTCTATATTTCATTTGATAACAAAATTATATTATAAAAAAGGAATAGCATGTTTATTTTGAGAAATCCAATTCTGGATAGCTTCCTAAAATGTGTCTACTGGACAACAACTTATCGTAAAACTAACACAAAACAGCCCAAGAATAAATAAACTAAAATATTTTGGCACTTATTAATCCAAATATTTTAACCACGTTAAAATTGCAAAAATAAAACGGTTGAGTGGTTCCCAGCAGGTTTTGTGTCTTTTCAGTGACCCTTCATTTCTCAACAAGAAAAAAAGAGGCTTGTGATGTAATCAGTTCTTTCTTTCTGCTCTTGAAACTTAATCAGAAAAGGTATGACGAGGCTTAAACACGACAAGAAGAGGTTAGAAGGTTTTCTGTCAGCAAATGTAGTTATCTTACTCAATCGGTGAAAAAAACAAAGACTTGAGTCGTTAGCGCCTCGTAGAAAAAGAGAAATTCACTTGCAAATGGTGAGTCATTGGTGAAAGACTTGCAATGTTAAGAGAAATTCCCCTTACTCTGGAAATCTGTCTCCTATCTTGAAAGTATGGGAGTCATAGTTCAGTAAAATGCTTCAACCTCGACTGTGACGTAGCATGTTTTGTTCTTTACTAAATTTAAACTGTGACTACTGAGGTTAACATCTACAAGTATTAGGGGGCTAATGGCAAATACAGACATATCCACTCATTTGGTCACTTTAAACATCATATTAGTGGTAAACCAGTGTGAAGCACAGAATTTAATTAAAAAACATATTCACATTTTAAAGTCAGCAGCTCTTTTATTAAGACACAAAACACAAAGGTTGGACTTGAAATCTGAAAACACCTAACTGAACTGGGGAAAATACCCCAAATCAATAATCGGCTTCAAAGCAAACAGACTGCTTCTACCACCAGTTGCTTCCCCTCTTATCGAGGACATGCTCCATGTTGACGTGCTCAGACGTGTCCAGCTTGATGTCATACTTGGCCAGGATCTTCATGATGGGCCTGATTTTCAGCCACCACTGTGTCTTCGGGATCCGATGCCTGCAGTGAAGCGAGAGGAGAGGGATCGGTCACTATTCTGGCTGATGCTCTGCTCAGTAGAGTGCGTCTGTTTAGTTATCAGCTGCGTGGCATACTCAAAGTCTGTGTCATCTTTCAGATCAGCAATAGGCTGGAAGGTGAGTCCTCTCTTCCTCATTCCCAGGACGCAGGCAGAGTTTGGTGTGTTGGCAAAGATATGACCTAAAGAGCCCACAAAGTCAAACGGTGAATCCATCACCAAACTCCTTCACGTGTACCTAAATAAATTAGAATATTATCAAAAAATATTTGATAGTCTCACTACAGTAAGAGTAATTCATTCCAAGTGTTTATTTCTATTTATTCTGATCTTTAAAGTTTTCCAGGAAGCAATAACATCCCATGAGATGGATGGTCACCACGTCCCAACATGGCAGCAAGGAGGTGGTGGAGTCATTTTTTGGACCGAAATCATGGGGAGAGAGCTGTTAACATGTAATTCAGTCTGTTAAGATGTTTTTGATTTTAATAGCTTTTGATTTTACTACATGTGACCACTTGATGCTGCGCATTCAAAGAATGACCATTAACAGTTCTTTATAATCCATAAAATGTTTAGAAAATCTGCTGTGCATAATAATTTGGAACAGTGCATTTTGAGTTTTTTATTTTTGGAAAAAAAATACTGTTCTCATGGGGAACTTTGATTTATATTGATTTAATTTAAAATTTGATTTGTACTGTAATAGTTCATGACTTGAAAATTATACTGACCACCATTTGCATTGACCATTTAAGAAAATCTGAAAAAATATCACTTGCATAACAATTTGGAACACTGTGTAGTTTTAGGTACCTTCCCTGTAGCACTCCTTGAGCTTCTCAGTCAGCCAGAGAATAGATTTGGCTCCCATCTTTGTTCCAAAGTTTCTGTCAAAGGGTGTCGGAGTGCCACCCTGCAGTTGGAAGAGGACAATTGACATTTAGTAACTTAAAAGAGAAGAAAATGTTTTGACTGCATTTTGATTTTCATCTGACCTGCTGCATGTGTCCGAGAACATTCATACGGCAGTCAAAGATTCCTTTGCCTTCTTCAGAGTAGAGGTTGTAGAGGAAGTCTGTGGTATAGTTAGCATTGCAGTTTTCATTCCTGGTGGGAGAGAAAAAGCAGACATTTGAAGGAAACACAACTCAGGACTCAACAAATGGAGAAGAAAGGACATTTAGATTAATATGTGGAGGGAAGGCTTTGGCAATAATTTTAGAAATTCAGTGACAAGTAATCTAAAAAGTGCTCCTGAATTCTCGTTTTGGACAAGTTTTTGTCACTTAACTCTCTTCTGTCCTGCAGCTGAAACAACATACCTGAGAATCAAACCTCTCTTCACAGTCGTCTTCATTTTCTCCACAAGATGCACTACATTTGCCTGTAGTACAATTTTAAACATCAGAGGATTAAAACATGTTCCCTCAGTCTAATTATATTGTTGAAAAATAAATCAATGTGCATGAGCTGATATACAATTTTATGCTGCAAGCATGTTTCTTTATGGATTTAAACTCACTGTCAGGTCCTTAATGCTGAATTTTTCCTCAAATATGTAGGCGGCGTCAGCCCCAGCAGCCAGGCCTGCCATGGTGGCCAGGTACCCACAGTATCCACCCATGGTCTCGACAATGAAGACGCGGCGCTTCGTTCCAGCAGCAGACTGCTTGATTCTGTCGCAGGTCTGCATGGAAAGCAAACCAGGAATGTTTCAAGCTATTCGTTTGTTCTCAAATATGTAATTATTTTTGTCGCTTCACTACTGACGGAGGTGATGGTGTTCAGGGCAGTGTCCGCGCCGATGCTGAAGTCGGAGCCTGGGACGTTGTTGGAGACGGTGGCGGGGATCACCACAAAGGGTATGCACAGCTCTTCGTATTGTTCTCTGGCCTGAAGCAGCTCCTGAGCGCCAACATAGGCCTGCAGCAGAGAAAGATCTTTTTACTATTTGGGTAAAAGTGTCAATTTATTGCTTTATTGCTTGTGAAAAATATACAGACACAGATAAAATAACATCTACAAAGCCTTTGACGTACCTCAAATCCACCAATAATAACCAAAGCATGGATGCTGAATTTGGCAATGTTCAAGCTGATGTTCTCCAAAAACTTTCCTGGCAGAGTTCTTCAGGGAAATATACACATATTTATCTGTATAAATAAATGCTTATATAAAATTTCACAGCATCATTACAGTAACACTCTTTCACCTCTTGGTGCCCAATATGGAGCCTCCTTTTCCAGTCCAGCCGGACACTGAATTCCAGTGTATGGGTTCAATCTGCAGTCAGACAATATGACCATTGTTTAAACACTAATTACCAAAGGAGCATCACATAAAATATAAAACAATATTTAACCGCCAAAATGCTTACAGAAAGAGACATTAAAGGACATATCAAAATTAAGAAAACTGCATTATAAATGCAACTATGGATCTCTGTCCTAAGAAGAGTGAAGCATAAATGCAGTATTTCTAGTCACTGTAAGTTATAAATTTGGTTACGTCTACAACATGGCCACTGTTACTTTGTCTTTAAATATCTGTATTTCCAAGGTCAAATCTATGCCTTTTACGCTCTAGACGAATGTTTTGCGACTAACCAGGTGTTAGAAATGATTTTCATCACTTTAGAAGATGTCAAAACAAATGAAACAGATGAGCATTAATTGACTAATCTAAACTGCGAGTCTGTGTCGCCTTGCAACAGGTAGACAACCTCTCTGCTTCTCGCCCAAGGACCGCTGAAAATCCCATGACCCTCACGACCCTGCATGCATAAGTGGGTATAAGATTATAGATGAATGGACATTTTATGTCTACTTGCATTAATATTCGCAGAAAGCTGTGATATAGCTAAGCCTAAGATTATTAATATTTCTGACAGAGAAATAGGAAATGAAATTGGCACGTCTCAAATGATAGTAAAGCTAAAAGGAGGATGAATTTTTTGCATGTTTCCAAGTCCTTACGGTTGAAAGGCTTTCTTGCCATCACCCTTAACTTCATCCACAGAGTTTTATTAAATACACATCAAGATTCTGGCTGGGCTGCCCCAAAGGTATTAATATTATTTCCAGTCAGAAGAAATGTGTGTAAAATGAAAAACATTTTTTAAACCTAAATCAGTCAGGCATATGAATAATTTTGGGTTCAATTGTAAATAATTTGATTGTTTCCTTAGCATTCTAGATGCTTGCATTTCTCCAATTCTTTATCATTTATAACTGATCGGTTATTTCTCTTTTAATTCCTAATCATCTTACTTGTAAAATCAGTATTTTTGGTTTTGTGTGTCTGTTTACTTGCTTTAATTATTTCCTATTTTTATGATTCCATTGATTTAAAGTCTGTCCTGTTTTAAGCTCACTAAAGCTCCTTGTGTTACCCTTCACTGTATAAAAAGTGCTTCATAAACCAATTTGATGGATTTTTTTCCTTTCCTTTATTTATTTTTTATAAATGTCTAAAGCACAGATA